AACTTATGGTACAGTAAAATTATCATAATATTCATCTGACTAGTTTCATATACATGCTGATTTTTTATGGATTTATCTTAATAATACGTATTTAAAATTAATAGATGCAATGAGTAACAGAAAAATGAACGCAAAATTAAAGCGCACGTCCTATAATTAAAACTATTTTAGTGAATATTTAGAAAATAAAATTAGAAACAATGTGTACATTATTTAAAAATTAATCATCAAAACAAAAATCAATCTGTGAAAAACAAAAGAGTACAAAATGTTGCTTACAAAGCAATAAGATTCTATAGATAAAACTTTTTAGTTTTTAATATTATTGATTTTAATAGTTAGAACTTTTAAAAAAAATATATAAATAAATATTGCATACTTAGTAACTTTGAAAGTAATAATATCAACATTCTAAGTCAAGTACTAAATTAATTACATAATGAATTATTTATGTAGAAAAGTAGTGGTTAATCCAGTAACATATGTCCGGTGTAAGAAAGAGTATGTGATATTTTTCCTAACACGACAACCTCATAATATTATGTTTGTTAAAAAGAAATTCAACCACAGGAATTAAAAACTCTTTATAAAAAATGTAGCACAACATGACAATAGTACAATAGTTATTATAAATAATAATTTCTCAAATTGATTAATTTTTACAGAAAATTATAAAGAATTAAAAAAAATAAAAAGTCAACTTGAAAATATCTGACACAGAACCTTTAAATTTTCATGCCGCAAAATGATAAAGACGTGTTAAAATCATTTTGACGAATAACTACGTAGAATTGGGTTATTGACTAAAATATTTAATTTGATAACACACATGTTTTTCAACAACTATCTACTTTCACTTGTAAACGTGAAAAAAATGCAATCGTAAATCATATTTTTATTGATATTTAATAATTCCATTGATAAGGTACAATATCAATTTACCAATATTTATTGATCGTTTCATGCTCAAGTACGATCATTAAGATAAACCAAGCAACAATAATCAGGCAATTTATGATTATTATGTCTACGGAATTACACATTGATTAGTTTTTACTGTGGCAAAA